GCGTGCGGCGAATCGATTACCAAAAATCGTTCCTAACGCCCGTCTCCCGCTTTTTTCGATATAAGCCTCATCCCCGCACTGAATTTTTTCAGAAATTCTCTGATTCCATGAGATTTAATGTAAAATTAAAGTTACATTGTGCTGGATATTTCCATAGAGCGGCAGTTAATTGCATTTTCAGAAGAGACGTGAAGAAACGATCACTTTCGTGCATGTCAAACTGAGCTGCATTGTAGAAAGCTGACTCTTCCGCATTGTTCCGGACGGATACATGCTTGTACCTAAAATTCAATCAACAAGTAGACTGTTGGATATCCATCGATTGGATCGGTACGGCAATATGTTCTTCGCGCTAGCCTTAATAAGAGTCGGCAAAGGCTGGGGATTTTCGAACACCTGTGGCCATGTACGCCATGGCAATGCTTCCCACCAATTTGTGTTGGAAGGGACAAGCTGACTGCCACGCGCCGAGGGATGGGCCAACCCCGAGGCGCAATTCATCCCGCTCAACATACCTGAAGTCACCCTCGGCTCTTTCGACTCTTGCTGTCCACTTGGTTAATGGTGAAACTAGAAGTCGGTTTGCTATAACTCCAATAATGAAGTATATATAGATTATTCCCACTCCAAATGGACCAGCTCTGAAACGAGGATTGTAACTGCATGATTGGTGTATAGTGGGGGAACTGTGATGGCTTACTTTCCCTCTCATCCATGTCATTTACCCATACCCATAATGAGTGAATTATTCAACAGAACATAGGGGGAAGGCATAAACAGACGCATCACTTCACTTTGGGGGGCCTTAGCCTGGTCAGCTTGAAACTGGGTGTATTGCACCCATTCAAGCACATAAGGAGCTGTCTACATTCTTCTTCGGTTTTTGGAGTCCAGTTGCAGTGTGACCCCTTCAGTCGTAGGACATTCCGGCAAAGAAATCAGTATTCGAGAAAGGAAATGTAATGGCGGATGAACGATACGTGAAGAATGGATGAGCCGCACACTGTGGGCCAGTCAGTGGTTTGAGGTACAGTGCCCGCCATGACGGATCTTTCACTTTTTTCTACTAAAGGCCAGTTAAGGGCTCAATTTTGTTCTGATTGATTAACCACAAAAGTGAAACGATCACATTTCTCATGATGAGACCAATTGTCTGGAAAAAGTTTCATAAAGTCACCGAATTCAAGTCTGAAGGGATAGTTTGATTAAGCCTGTGAAGATTGCGATAAAGTTTGTTAAAGAATCTAGAGCAAGATCACACTTTTCTAAGAACTTTGTGGTCAAATATTGGGCAAACGTATTTTCTATTCCGTCCCCGTGGATATCAGCACGTAGCATATCCTCGTGCGTTCCCGTTGAGCCCTCACGACGAGAACAATACTGCTGAACTACAGTGACATGACTTTATTCTCAAAACGATGTTTCATAAAATGTTGCAACATTCGAAGAAAAGGGTGACCCAGTTTTGAAATGACACTATGACAGATGATAAGCTAGACTTAGAAACCAAAAAAAA